TAATAATGTCTGTATAGAGAGAGCATTGATGGGAAGTGAAAGAAAATCAGAGGTTAGCAAAGCTTCTGGGTTAGCTTGCTTTCTCCCCTCTCAGTGCTCAGCACACTATTTCCGTGACACCTTTATTGCGTATTGAATCTGAGTTTTCTAATTGGCTAAGTTGACTTAAGTTAAGAACTAATGATGCGGTCACCTTTCAATTGGATAAAGCAAATTTAGTTATCACAATAATTAAAACAATTAATTAACTCCCTACATCACACGCTTATTTAAAAAAAATCCTACATCACAATCAATTTGGAGCAAAAAATGAGAAATAATCTCTCTTTTTAAAGTAATATAACTTTTGTATTTATAATCAAATTTTTATAAAAGTATATTAAAATTCATAATTTTTTATTATCTTTCATATGACACCAATATCATATATAAATAAATAAAAATATATCTCTCTACGTCTCGTAGAAAGGTTCCACACAGTTTACGATATTTAACTGATCATAAAGTTAATTGATCCTATCCGTAATTAGATTCTTTTTAGTAAATAAAATTTAAATATCCAAAGACTACATCAAAAGTTTTATAAAGTCGCAAAAGAAAAACTCAAATTTGATAAAAATTGGATATACAGAGTATAAAGTAATAGATTAAGAAGACTTTATGTTGACCGGATAGTAGTGGACGAAAATTTTTGAATGGGATGAAGGTAATATTTTATATAGCAAATCTAAGTTAAAAATTCCATTGATTTATAAAAATTCTATTATCACTACTACTAAAACATTTAATTCATATAAGCTTATTTGGTTCATCATTGTTATTCACTACATGTATCACTCCTCATTTGGAGAAAATGAAGGAGAGAAAAACTTTTTTTAAATGTATTAAAACTCATTTATTTGTACTCCAATTTTTACAGAAAATACATCAAAATTTATAACATTCTATTATCTTATACAAAAATCAATGTTGCATATATAAAAATAAAAACATTATTTTATACAATACATTTGGGTTAAAAATCAATGAGGGGTTAGTCTCTTATTGGCTAATAAAAGATTTATAATCATTACTACTAAAACATTTAATTAATCCAAGATTACTCGGTGCATCTCTTCTATTCACTTGATGCATAAGTGCTATTCATATTAATCATGCCAACTCATTTGGAGAAAGTGAAGGAGAAAATATCTTTTAATGTGCTATAACTTTTTATTTGTACTCCAATCTTTACGAAAATTATATCAAAATTAATTGATCTTTCATATGCCATCAATATTGCATATATAAAAATAAAAATATATTATTTCATATAATTAAATGTAGTTATAAATCAGTAATGTGTCTGTTTCTTACTACGTATTAGTTAATAAATTTTGTTATCACTACTACTGTAACATTTAATTAATTCAAGTTCACTTGGTACTTCACTGCTATTTACTCGATGCATCATTGATTCACTTTAATCACGCCAACTTATTTAGAGAAAGGGGAGGAGATTTTTTCTTCTTTTTTTGTAATCCAATTTTTATAAGAAATGTATCAAAATTAATAAGTTTTGAAATCTTTCATATTAAACCAATATTGCATATATAAAAAATATTACTTTTATATAATAAAACTGAAGTATGAATCAATGATGTGTGAGTCTTATATTGGTTAATAAAAATTTCATTATCACCACTACTAAATCATTTAATTAATCCAAGTTCACTCAGTGCATCACTGCTATTCACTCAGTGTATCACTGTTATTCACTCGGTGCATCACTGCTATTCATTTTAATCCAATCAACTCATTCAATGCATCACTCCAAATTTAACAGAACATATATAAAAAATCGTAAAATTTATGATCTTTCATATGACACCAAATTACATATATATAAAAACTATTGTAATAATTGAGCTATAAATCAGTGATATATAATATCTATATTAAATTTTGAGTTTAAATGTGCATTATGGGAAACATACATTTACATAGTAGTCGTGACACATATAAGTAATCCAATTTTCATTAAATATTTAAATTTATTATTTTATTTAGTAAAACAAGATTTCAAACTACTAACATATGTGTGTGTGTGTGTCACTCTGTTATTGGTCAACAAAAATTCTTTCAACTTTATAATGAAAACATTTAATTAGTTTCGAACAAAAAGGAGATGAATCAGCTATAATGGAAAAGGGGGGAAAAGTAGGTGGAAAGCGTTAAATAACTAACACTCGACATTATGTAAGCTTCACACAATGAAATATTTAGGGAACCTTAATTCACGTGTACGGGTGTTAGTGGCAGTACTCATGAATAGTTAACACTATAATGTACACTTAATTTTGAAATATTTCAATATTTTTTAAATAATGAAACTTTAATTCACGTGGATGGGACTATAATCGTACAATATCAATAATACATGTGAATATCCAAAATAGTGTAAATTATAAACTCTACATATTCTCAATTCCAATTCAACGCTTCTTCTTATCATTCCTTATCATATAATTAGCCCTATAATTAGTGGAGTATCCCATGGTGGTGGTTAGTCCTATAATTAATAACTTTTACAACAATAATCACATAAACCAAAATTATAACCACAAATTAGTACTTCAAAAGATGGTGATTCTTCATCCGTATTCCATGATGGTGGTTAGTTCATAAAAGCAATCATCAAAATTTTGATCATCTTATGAATAGTTTACCATGTTTATTTCACTTGTTCCATGTCAAATTAACAGTACCGGGGCATGCCCCGGGTGTTACACTAGTTTATATGAAAATTGTGTATCCATTCTATCAACCTAAATTTTTTATGTAATTCTTGTTTTCATTATTATACATAAATTCTTATTTAATTTTTTTATGAACATTCTGATGTAAAAAAAATAAACTTAGAGCATTATTGATAACACTTAAATTGGTTTAATAGGTTGATTCTGTTGAAATCGATGAAGTTCTGATTGAAGCGGCTGAATTGCCTAAATTTACTGACTTGTGAAAAAAATCTATTTAAAATATACTTTGTATGTTATTAAGAAAGTAAAGAAAAAATATGTGAAAAATATCTAGCTATAGATGGTCTTTTAAAGCTTCACCCAAATTAGTCAGAAAAATAACTTAAATTTTACTTAATCTTTTTTTGCTTACTTATTTTGATTATTACACAATTCAGCGCGTGAAATCAAAAATTGTGTGCTTGGAAAAAAATGAATGGCAAGGCTGATTAGGGTACGAATGTAGGATTGGTCCAGTCTAGGTCGAGTTTTTGCTAAACCCAAAAATTACCTGTAAGATATTGGGTTATGAACCTTAGAGTGCGTTTGGGAGTTTGAGGGTGAGGGAAGGAGAAGGCTTTGAAGGGGAGTAGAGAGAAGGGAAGGGGACGGAGATGGGAAGGGATTGCCTCCTCTTGTTGGGGAGTTGCAAATTTCAAAAGAGGGGGGTTTGGGGACATTAGGGTTTTTAGCGACGAAGAAATGAAGCGAGTAGCAGCTCATAAAGCTTGGCAATAATTAATCATATTTGGAGAATTAAAACATGACAGTCCTATTTTGGAATTATCAAACATTTTTTCTCCTATTTCATGAATTTCCCCTTATACTTATATTTATATTTATATTTATATTTATATTTATATTTATATTTATATTTATATTTATATTTATATTTATATTTATATTTATATTTATATTTATATTTATATTTATATTTATATTTATATTTATATTTATATTTATATTTATATTTATACTATTAATTTCTTCCATTCTCACTCATCACTAATGATTTACAATTATTAGTGTTGCTTTTCCTTATATTTATATTTATATTTGTATTTATATTTGTATTTATATTTATATTTATATTTCTATTTCTATTTCTATTTGTATATCTATTTGTATTTGTATTTGTATTTGTATTTGTATTTGTATTTGTATTTGTATTTGTATTTGTATTTATATTTATATTTATATTTATATTTATATTTATATTTATATTTATATTTATATTTATATTTATATTTATATTTATAATATTAATTTCTTCCATTCTCACTCATCACTAATGATTTACAATTATTAGTGTTGCTTTTCCTTATAGATTGACTTTCTCTAAATTGATGTTTTAAAATAGTTACCTAAGCAAACAAAGGTACGTATTATTTAGTGTCAACAATTGAGCTATGTTTCACGGAAACACGAAATCAAGATGAAACGAGAAACGAGAAACGGGAAACGTAAGTATTTGCTCAAAAACACTTGTTTGGAGAGTCTCCTAAGAGTTTCCTAAACGAATTCCTTGAAATGGTACCACTTTTTGTTGGTTTTAAATGCTTATTCCTAAAATGCTTTTTTTATTTCCATACTTTCTATCATAATAAAGAATAATGAATTTTTCCTTTGGATTGATTATATAAGGTGTCATGAGCATAATAAGGTGTCATTGGCTTACTCATTCGGTTAAAAAAAATTTTTGACACTTTTCCTTTAGGAATAGTATATCAACCTAAAATAACTTACCAAATGTATAATAAATTGATATTTGAGATTGAACAATTTGAATTCCCATTTGGAGGGAATGGGTCTTTGGTAAAATTCAAGACTATTGTCTTGTGATCCATCTATTTGTTTATTTTCATTACTATATGTTGCTAAGAGCATCTCTAATGCAAAAATGTGAACTGTGCATACGTAACATGAGAAATAATCAATTAAAAAATAACAAATAGAATATCTCTCTCTTTCTATCCACGGTTTTATATGTTTTTGATAAGTTTTTCTCCACAATGTCAAGCACAATGTCTACATCTAGACATTGTGCTTGACATTGGGGAGAAAAACTTACCAAAAGCATATAAGACCGTGGAAAGGAGATAGAAAGGTCAAAAATTTAATCATTTGTGTCTATCTCTCTCATGCCACGTGTGCATCATGCACATTGGAGATGCTCTAAAAGATGCAATGCAATTGTACAATGATAGTACAAAGGATGTTGCCATGCTTTTCATCTTTAGCCACCTTGACAAAACATTTAAAATTTCTCTATGAACTAGTTTGCAGCTTTTTAATAACATCCCAAAGGGGGGAAATATTCCAATTAACAGAAAACAATTCCAATTAGCTCTGCTCAATTGTAAAGTATTCCTCAAAAAGTGAAATGACCATTAACCTTATTTTTTTCTTTAACCTTCTCCCTTGAATGATCCCACAGCTTTGGACTTTGGTAGCACACTTTAGCGGACTGTAAAAACCATTAATAAGTAAAAAAGAAGTGAATTTAAATAGTTGCTATTTTTAAAATATTGAATTCAAATGGTGAGGAATGAACTGCATTCCCAAAAGGCCAAAAGAGTCCAATAGGAGTCAGTCATGGTGGCAGGGAGTAGCCAGTAGATTATTAAGTGTATTGCACCAAACCCCATAGTCCTACCAGACATACAGTCAAACTGAGAGCCTCATCAATGTGCTCCACAGTCAGGCAGATCACACACAAGACTTTGCATATCAACCACAACAACCAAACAAGCCTTAGTCAGAAAAAGACAACATTAGAGAGGCCATCCCCTCTAAATTCACTGGATTAACTGTGAAACCTTCACAAATCCCAATTTATATACACAAAACAGTGCTATGTAAACCACAACACTAGGAGGTAACAATTCCTAAAAATGTTCCCTTCCTCTTTTTCTCTGTTTCTGCATTTTTTTCACAAAAATGACCTCACAATGTAAAAAATAAACATCAAACATATCTAACATAATAATACTCATAGTAAAGAAAAAACAAACAAAAAAACAACTATGTTCTGATCATCTTCATCATCATCATCATCATCATCATTTTTTCCTAAAAAAATCACCTTCAAAGAGTTGTCAAGAAGTCTTAAAACATTTATAACAGCCGACGGCTTCTCCTCAATGCTAATAAGCATACAAACCACTTCTTGATCATATCATTGAAACCATCCAATTTGTTTTGCAGCATTAGATTGTTTCTTTTTCAATCTTCCAGCTTCCTCCTCTTTGTAACGGGATTGTCATGAGAGGACTCATCTTCACATGACCCAACCCCCAAATCATCAGCAGTCGAATAGCTCAAGCAGGAGGCGGCCTCTAGAACACCGATAGGACTGTTTGGTACACTTACATGTGATGTTCTTTGAACCGTTAGAAAACCGCTAGGAGAAGAAAATTCTTGCATGGATTCCACACATCTCATCACTCTCTCCTGAAGATTATTATACACAATTTTGAAGTGTTGGTTAAATATTTCATGATATAAAGCAATTTACCTTTTCTATTAAATCCTATCTGGACTAAGATGTACGTCCGTATTCAGATGTCTACTTGGATCAAGTGATATTTGTATGAGATTATTTACTTTGTGTTCTCTACAAAAAGTCCAAATTGAGTAAAAAATCGATATAATATTATTGGGTATATATTAAAGCTTAATGATTAAGTCGGTTTTTGAATGAATGAGATCCTACTTTCAAATAGTTGCAAGTAAAATGACTTAATGGTTGAACGATTGAATCGCTTTTCTCATTAATTAATAAGTCCATTAAGCCACAAGTAAACAGCCCTTTGAAGTTATAATGATATAACAAAGAACGCTAGGATCCATTTGGAACCCGAAAATGCTATGCAAAGAAAATAAAGTGGAAGTTTAAAAGGATAGAAAACATTGGGAAGTAACTATAGTAAGTATATATTTCATTCATATAACTCTATTACATTACATAATGAGCATTAAATATACATGAAAGAAAATCTTTAAAAAAGTTGGAGAAAATTTGATTTCTCCCTGGCATTTCCCTAGTTAAACTTTTTTTCAATAAAAAATTAGTAGGATTTTACTCTCATTCCCTACAGTTTTCCACCCTTCCAAACATAGCCATAAGATATTTTACCTTTTGTATTTGGGGAGTAAGTGAACAAATTGCTTTCTCAATGTCTACAGCCTCAGTTTCTACTGCAACAGATATAGCCACTGCAGCTGCTGCAATCTCAGATGGCTTGAATTCGATGAAGTTAATCCCTGTCATTAATTACCACCTAAATATTAGTCTAGGAAATGATATAAAGCATTAATCAAGATCACAAATGTACATCTGAACAAATTTACCCTTAAGTGTGCTCAGTATGAGTTCTGTGCATTTGACAATGGAAGAACATGAAGCAGTTTGATCCCTGTTTATCTTCGTGAGGTAGTAATCCATAAACGAGAATGGAGTGACTGCCTGCATTCTCCATTTAAGTGTGGTCAACACAAGAAGCTCCATTCTTTGAATGGTTCTACCTTCAAACACATATTTGCTATCACCGGTCTATTAAAACAAAAAACATCACATGTTAACATCAAAATCTTGATTTAGGCCACTATTAGAAAGTATAATTATTTAATTTCCTAAAATATTCACCTGTAAATCTAGAGAGAGGGGGACATCAGTTTCCTCCATTTTGGCTGCTATAGACAAACAAGCAACAGCTAAAAGCTGCATCATCCAGCTCTTGCTCTCCTATATAACAAGTTAAAAGTTCTTTAAAATGTGATTCATTAAGAATAATTATATTGATTAGAGACAAATTAAAGTTCAATAACTTTGAGTAATAATAGTAGTATACTTACAGGAAAATCATATGCAGACAGAAACCTATCAAGGTAACTCACAGCCAAATATGCACACAGTGGTCCAAAATTGAAATGTGAGTGAACCTATTAAACGAAACCACCATCATAATAAGATACATAATTAGATTAACTATAAACATCCATAATCACACTGCAGGAAAAAAAGTGAATGAACCAGTTTAGCAACAACAACAAAAAACAAATACACATAAAGCCAGACAAGAAAAAGAAACTTTTATCAAAGTCGCCCAAAAAAAAGCCTTAACACATACCGTACTAATCGAGCATTAATTTATCATTATGTCCGATCAGTAAACAAAGCTAAAAAAAGAATCTTGCGAACGAGATCATTATTAAGATCGAATCGGGGGTTAAAGAAACAAACCTTTGCAATCCAGTCAAGAACTTCATCTCTAGAGGCAACATCCACCTCCCCATTCCTCAATCTCTTCAGGTAATCACATGAAGGCAAGTTTTCACTCTCCTTCCGAATCATCAAAGCCAAACACTCCTCACTCTGAACCGGCAACTTAGTCAAACTCCGACGATTCCTACGAACTCCTAACCCATGCCCAACAACCCCATCGTCTCCCTCGTCACAAAGAAGGGTCGTCGTCGCACAGTCCATACTTGGTCCCATCGCAATCAACACCTTAAAAACTCGATCTTTAAATTAAAGAAAAGCTATTCACAGCCAAACAACTGGTGTTGATATTTTTCTTCAAATGAACATCTGAAAGACTGGCTGCTAGGAAGATAATGATTCCTTGATGATGAAATAATGGGGACGGCTAAGATCAGTGCATAGATATGCAAGAAGCCGAGTTTGGGAGCTCAAAAAGGCATCTTTGGGATGGGGGAGGAGAACAAGGGGAGCGGCTTGGAGAGAATGGAGAAATCAGGGTTGGGTTCTATATATATTGGCCTTAGGTTAGATTATGGAAGGAGAAGGGATAGGAGGGCGAGTAGAAAACATCCCTAGTAGTGTATATACACAGTACTTACTCGGGACTGGAAGAAATGAAAATTGGGAAGGTTAATAATGGGGAATGACGGAGAGAGAGAAACAGTGAGGGGTAGTTTGGGCATTTAAGAGGTTAGCATCATGGGTCTTTTGGCGATGGCCGTATATACGGAGTCAATTTTTAATGATTCTCACTCTCTTTTTAGTATTTCGAATCGAATTTTGTACACTTTCATAAAGCGAGACACAAAGCAGAATGATTAGTTTTACACTTTTACCAACTTGGATGGGTTTATCATATATTCTCTCATTCCCTAAATAAATTTAGGAAAATTCTTTGAGTTTCAAAAAAGGCCAAAATAGAACGATTTTGTTATCAAGGTAATTACTGCCAAATTTAAAAAATTATGTCATGTTAAAATTCTGATACTATCAAAATATGGCAGTAATTAGTCTTATTCTAGCAATAAAACATGATAGTCGTATTTTGGAATATACAGACATTTTTAGTCCTATTTAAGGTAACCTTTCAATAAGTTTGTCACTTTCCTTGATCGACATCCCTAAATAAATTTATCTTTCTATGTTTGATGAATAAATTTATATCAATTTTTTTAATTACCTTTAAATAATAATGATAAAATAATACGGAGTATAAAATTGTGCTAGAAAATTTAAAATTATACAGTAAAATTTATCCCACACTGAAAGACGGATTCAAGAAGTCAAAGGAAAAAAGTTATTTCTTTAATATGAACAGCTGAAATCTTTGTATAAGAACGGAAGGAGTAGTTCTTTCGTCCCAAATTGAATTACAATTTGCGTCTTTAAGATTGATTGACGATAAAATTAAGTCATTCGTGTAAATAGTAAAATTACATTTAAAAATTTAGAATATAGTCACAAAATTCAAATCGGAATCTAATTAAAAAATGGCGAATTTCACAAAAATAATCCATACTTTTATTAATTCTACTATAATAATCTCTACTGAAAGTATCCATAAAAATAATTTGTACTAACAATAGTGTCCATAAGAATATATTGGAGCGGATTCAAACTAATGTCCATTTAGTACTCCCAAAGTCCCAACCCCTTCCTTCACTTTCCTCATCATCACTTTTCGTCTCGGTTAACACTTTTATGTTCCAACATAGAGAAAATAGCATATGACAGAAATAGTGTTGAGATTAAATGGGGTTTAATTTGAATTTGCCCCGAGAAGATGAATGGGAAAGAGAAAAGTGGGAATAAGAGTTGAGAATATTAAACGGGCATTAATTTGAATTTACCTCAAATTATTCTTATGAACACCATTGTTAGTTCAGATTATTTTTGTTTACACTCTGAGTAGGAATTATTATTGTGAAATCCCTAAAAGTGAAGATTATTCTTATGAATTTCACCTAAAATTTTATATGTTAAAAAGGTAAATAAAATATGAAACTATGTTAATTAAGAAAAGTTGACATCGTAAATCATTTTGCGACAAAGAGAGTATTACATATATAAACAACTCGTGGATGACCTAGGGGGCATGCCCCCACCCCCACCCCCACTTGCTTTCAGTCCTGAAAGTTGTACTAATAATAAAGTCATGGACTTCTGCGCCCTCATCTGATCTATTTGAACAATATTAGTTTTAAATTTTGCTACATTTTTTTTAGGATGTAATTAAAAGTATGCTACACTTTTTTTAATAAGTTTTTCCTTTAAAAACACACAATTATTCTTACTTTTTCTACTTTTATCATTTCTTTCATATTTTCAACTATCTCGTACTTTTTGTACAATATTCATTACATATATTATTTCTTCCTTACATAATGTGTCAAAGACTAATGTAGCAATCTTTAATATTGGGTGGAATATAATGTTACATTGAAAAACAATCTGCATTATTACTTAAAACTCCATCCCAAAGCAATATCATTTTGATATCAAGTACTTTTATACTGTGTATTACTCCCTCCGTTCCGAAATTAACTTCCAACTTTCCTTTTCGAGCAGTCCCGAAATTAACTTTCCACTTTCTTATTTGGCAAATTATCTACGTCAAAACAGGGCAAAACAGTGTCAAACAATGTCAAACAGTGTCAAAACAATGTCGAAACAATGTCAAAACAGTAAAATTTACCCCCAGTCAAATCGAAGTGGGAAGTTAATTACGGGACGGAATCAATATATAACAACTTTATCTCTAGTATAGATATTGAAATAACCGTCACACTATGTGTACATAAAGATGTCCTTAAAGATGTCCTTATCTCTACGACTACTTTTTACATCATGTATCCTTAAAGATGTCCTCATTTTAAATTAAGATGTTTATTTGATTGTTTTACTCCAAGTGGGGTTTGGGATCGGGGGTTGAGGTAAAAAAGATTGAAACTTCCACTATGGAGTTTTGAACCCAAGATCTCCCACAGTTAAGTCCCGCATGGGAGAGTGAGGTGGTGACCAACTGAATTGGGCCGCCTTCTTGACAATTATTCCGTAACAAATTGTCAAATTATTGTGAATACTTGAAACTTACATACTACCAAACTAGACTAAAGTAATTTCGAATCGAATAACCAAACATACATACTAACATACTACCACGGTCTCAAAATCATAGTTTACTTCTGATTCACCCTTTCGCATTTCACACAACTCTATAACTTTGTCAAGTTCAAGAGGTCGTGTTTTAGATCCATATAGGAGTTGTCTAACTCCACATATGCTTGAGGCATTGATTTTGACACAAGACTGGTCACGTTCATGGATTCAAAAGAGTATGGATTCAATGGTTGATGGTATTTTAAGTTTTATTTATTTTATATTCATTATAATTTTTTTCAAAATGCATTTAACTAGGTATGTGATGCTTCAATTGAATTGTTTTAGAGCTCCGTAAATTAAGCGATCAACAAGGTGATATTTGATATCGATGCTTGGTGAAAAATACTGAATTTTCATTTTTCCGGGTATGACATACTACTTGCTTTGGTAATGCTTCCAGAATTCTTTCAAGTGTTGCTTTTAGATTTTAGTTGTGTTAACAATTAAGTCATCCAATGTTTGACTTTCATTTTCCTTTAATGTCATGCTTTCTTTGCAGTTATGGCTGCAGACAGATAGAATGGATGCAAGTAATGTAGTATGGATGCAGGCAGTTAGTGTTGATGCTGGTTCTAGTATGCAGATTGGAGACATTTTAAATTTTTTTGTTTCTCCTTGAATTGTAATATGCAAGTGGCTCTTGTAAACTAGTGTGTCAAAAACATTGTTAGCAGGCAGTCTTGTAGGTTCTGCAATTTGTTTAGTGGCAGTCTGGTTCTACTATGTAGTGTTTATTCCTATACTTTTGCAATAGTTGCTTAGTGGTTAGCATGATTTCAGGAGCATTACTCTGTAGCCATCTTTGATTATAAAATCGAATAAAATACACCAGAAAAGTTGTGGAGTTTAGAAGCACAAAACAACTTGCTATCTTTTGATTAATCTAGTCACGTTTAGTGCAGCTTTAATTAGTTTTGTTTTTAATAATACTTTCATTTCTGTTTTCACTTGAAGCATTAATATGTTTATGTAAACTTTATGATTTCTATTTGTATTTATATTTCTAATTCTGTTTCAATATTTTGGTTTATTTAATTTCAGTTGGTTTAGCAGGTGCAGGCAGTTTGTATAAGCTAGGTAGTTACTTTGGCTATTGTAGACTAGTGTGTCAAAAACACTGTTAGCACTTAGCAAGGCTGCCTTGTAGCTAGGTTCCGTAATCTGTAGTTTGCTCCACTGATATGTAGTATGTACACTTTCAATTCTGTTTTCACTTGAAGCATTAAAATGTTTATGTAAACTTTCTTATTTCTATTTTTATTTCTATTTCTATTTCAGGATTTTGATTTATTTTATTTCTTTTGGTTTGAATTTCAATGAAAAGAAAGCATTCAAAATTACTCACAGTGGACTATAAAATGTGAGACAAGACAATCATTTTCAAGTTTATAAACCGGACATCAAACCGAACATCAAACCGAATCGAACCGAATTTTTCCCATACCGAACCGAAACCAAACCGAAATTCTTTTGGTTTGAGTTTGGTACAATTTTTCTCAAACTAAATAAACTGAAATCGAACCGAAACCGATAAAAACCGAACCGTAAACTGACTCGCCCACCCCTAAGTGGTAATGTGGTATGGTTCGAATGCTCGAGCATATCTTTGTGTGGCATCAACGTAACCTCTGGAATACTTGGGCCATATCCCATAGGACTCGGGTAGCCTCCTGGAGTGCTTCTACTCTTAGCATTCAACTATGCTAGGTCAATATGGGAAGCATGACGCCAACCACCACCATGTTGGTTATAGGCGGATCACCCGCTATAACTACGATCAAACATCTCCCCCAAGACTCCCATACGGGATAGCTGGTTCCGAAGATCTCCCATTGGCGCCGCCACCTTGCTCCACATGTGGTGACGTTAGGAAATCCAGGCTGCTCGGTGTGGACGGGAATTTGTTCGTGGCATCAAGATTATATCTCTGTCATCTTCTCTCGTCATAAGTTCTATTGGAGTCATACAAGAGAATATAGATTTCTTTCTATGACAACATCAATGTTGGTCGTAAAACGAAAGCACATAGCCTTTTGAGAGACTACAACGGAATACCTCAGTAAGAATTGATTTGTTAAAATTGGTAAGTAATCTAAAAAAATTAGGAGTTTTTGTCCATTTTAGTCCTCCGATTATTATATTATGTCATTGACTTTTAGTACTCAACTTTGAATTTTTTCACTTTTAATGCTCCGACGGTTGTACGTGCGAGAGACATTTTTGATATCCGTATTTGAAAATTTACATAGTTACTCTATCGACTTTCATAAAACTGACACTTTTGGCTCTTCAACTGTTATAATAATGACATTTTCAGTCCTCCACTCATTGTGAAAAATCATAATGGAAGGACTAAAAGTGTCAATGTGAAAATATGTAGGGGACTAAATGTGCGGACCTTTAACGATAAGAGCTAAAAATGTCTCTCTCATAATAGTCGAAGGACCAAAAACCGAAAAATTGTAAGTCGTGTATCAA